TTATCGCTCAACGCCCTGGTACTTGCATTGCTTATGAAGTATGCTGATGAAAAACTGAAAGAGAAAACAGAAAAAAAACATCAAGAAAAGGAAAATGACTGTTCTTTAGTAAGAGAACATGAAAAGGTTGATGATATGGTTTTCGATGAAGACTCAACCGCTATCAAACTTCAAACCACTCAAGCTGCAAGTAATTCAAAATTAAACATTTTCAGTTCTTTAAAGAGTCAGATCATTCTGTTCTGTCAATATCCGCGATTTGGAGCTTTATTAATTGCAAATGTATTTCTATCTATAGGATATGCAGGATTTTTAGTCCACATGGTAGCCAATGCAACGTATATTGGTTTATCGGACTCTCAGTCAACATTGATAGCGTCCATCTACGGATTCGGCAACATCATTGGCCGACTTACTCACGCTGTGCCAATTCAACTCAATTGGATATCAACGTATAAATTATTTTGGATGTCGTCTTTAATAGATAGTATTGCAATGTTGATTTACCCATTTTGCTCATCCATTATATTACTGTTCATTTTAACTGGCATTATTGCGTATAATGTTGGTATCCACGTTCCCTTGCTTCCGGTTGTGGTGCGCATATTTCTTGGGGACAAATATTTTCATGAAGGATTCGGAATTCTGCAGGTGCCCGGGGGACTGGGCAGCCTGATTGGTGGATTTGCTGCAGGTAAGCTTACACTTTCCAGTTAATATTTATTAGTTGTTTATTAATTGGTCAGTCACAACCTATCAAGATGTGAGTGAGTACATACTGTTTACAGTATTAAATGCTTTACTACTAACCAGCATATTGCATCCATGCACAGTCGTACTATTCTGTGTTTACAGTAATAGCCTACTGTGTACTATATCTTACAATAGCCCCCCCCCCCCTCATAAATATTAATTGGGTAATAATAACATTTCATTTCAACTACTTCCCTGTGCGTACGTATTTCAACAGATACGGGGAAGAGTGCGACCCAAATAATATAAACTGTGTAACTTTATCTACACAGTTGAAAATTGCCGATATAGATGGACGGTTTGCTTTTATGAAGTACAGTATAGTAAAACAAATACAACATGGTATTTCGTAAAAGCAGTGACATCTACTTCCATCAGTGTTGGGTGATTAGGAAACCACACAGTCTGGTTTAAAATACGTAATGGGAGTCGCATCATCGCCAGGGGAAGTGGCAGTGCACCCATTGTGTTCATACTATATATTTCATTTGGAAATAGAAGTACTGCAGTAGTGCCGACCATCCAACACTGCATGAAGTATAATTCACTACGTCACCTTAAATCATAATGTATATTGTATTATACTGTATCTGTCTCCCTCAGACATATTCTAGTTCTAGTTAATTGTAAATTATTCATTAACATCTCCTGTGTTTCCTGTGTTTTTTTCTTAAGATTAAAGAAAGTAACAGTTCTTTAACAATCTCTTTTCAGGATGGATATATGACCTAACAAGTAGCTACCGGGATGCATTCTTTTTCATGGCGGCATCTTATTTGATTGTGCCTCTGATTTTCTTGGCTGTTGAACTATTTTTAGGGAGGACAAGTAAAAATGCTAAAATGTATAATGCAGTCCAGCTGACCCCAGTAACCGTGCAACAGAAAACCATATATGAGGTTAAAGGTCATAGCATATGAGTATGGAAAGAGAGGAGAACATATGGCAGTTTAAAGTAAACCATGGAAGTTGCATTGTCATAATGGAAATGCACCTGCCATGTCCGTACTAACATTGCATCCATGAAACAGAAGTCTGCCTGCAATACAGACAACAAGGCTTCAGAGGAAAAACATTTTTTAAATATGTTGTACAACTGATTTCAAAGACACAAAAATGGTATTTGACTAAAAACTTGTGTGAACAGTTAATGATACAGATTTTGGAATATTTAAAAACTGGGGGTGGGGAAGGGTGGTTACACTCCTTTTCCTTCCAGCCAGTTGAGAAACAAATCAAACATGTTTTTTCCTCCAGTGCCTGGCTTCAACTTAATACTGACTAAGTGTTTGCACTTCCTTTTGATCCCAAAGAAATTAGCTTAAAATTGTTTTAATCTTTTTTTTTTTAAATGTGATGTTGTACTGTACAACTGCATTTTAAAAGGCACAAAATGTGTGTTTGACAAAAAACTTGTGAACAGTTTTGAGATATGTATATATATATTGGTATCTTTATTCACAGTAAAATCATATATACATAAAATAATACATTGCAGTTGAGAAACTGAATTGTGAAATTATGTTTTTAAAATGCTTAATTATTAATATAAAAATTACAGATATAAAATTAATTACTTTCACAAGATTAATACATCAAAAAGTAATAAACTGAGTTCAATTAACATAAAAAATAGGCCTACAAAATCACATCAAAGGTTAGAAATTACGTAAAACAGACAAATCAGGAAACAAGAAACAAAGAAAATGAGACAATTGGCACCAAGGAGATACAGATTTTTGAGTATTCAGTGGAAAAATGTGTGCTTACACCCCTTTTTTCCCAGATATTTTTTACAACATATCAACATTATTTTTCTCTGGAGCCTGGCTTCAACTTCTTACTGAATAGGAACGTTTACAAGTTAATTGTAATCCCAAAAAAATTAGCTTTTAATTTGTTTAAATCTTTTTCTTAAAAAATTTTTTTTTCTCAAATATTGCAACCTTTTAAGCTATGACACGATAACAACACAACGACATAATGAAAATGCGCTCAGTGTTAGAGAATTTAAACGACGCGATGATATATCGTCATCGTATAGTTATCGTGTCTAGTGTAAATGCAGCTTTAGATTGCTTAATAACCAGTCGTGATAATATTTTACATGATGCGTGAGCCTATTATCTAATGAGTGAATGAAATAAATATGAATAATTGGATAGAGGATCTTCAAATTAAGACAAACCTTATACATTATGCTATATTTAAGAAAAAAATTTAATTAGAGAAATTACTTATTAGACAAATTGGATTTTAAACTCTGCTCAAGTTCAAGTTTCTCTATTGTCATGTAAAAGGTTTACATGAAATTCTTTTTTCAAGGTTTAATATACACATAAATAACTTTAAAATAAAATTAAGTTAAATGGTGTTAAAAAATACATAACGTACAGTGCATAAACATTAGAATCTTACTTATATGCAGTTACATACTGGTGGATTGCGAATATTCAGTGGTGGATCTTAAGATGTCTGGAAGGGGAAGGGGAAGGGGCCCCGATCAAGAGACAAAACTACTCCTGGGAGTCCCGGGGACCCGCCCGGAAGATTTTTCTAGACAGACACCGGAAATATCCCATGAGGCATTTTGGGTGATCAATAATTTGTTTTCCTTTATTTTATTTCCTTTCTGAAGGTGTGGTGGTGGGGGCGGGGAGCCATGTTCCCCCCCCCCATGACTATCACATATGGCTTGCATTGTTTAGTCAGATTGCAGAAGGGAGAAATTAGTTCTTATTTTAATTTGCTTTAGCAATCTTAGCAGAGTATCTAGATTAAAGATGGTGTGAAGATGATGAAGTTGAATGTACGGTACTCTTCGCAATATAAATCTGAAGGAATATCAAATACTTGTTATTTATTACCTGTAGTTTTTTTTCTTTTAAATATAAAATAAGATTAGAAGATTTGTATGAACTTGAACATACTTTTCAAAATTTGAACAATGTTTACAAATTTTATACACATCAAATTTTAATAAGCAAATATTTATATTTATATTGTAAATTGTTATAAAAATAGCATGAGAAATACAAAATTAAACATGTTAACATTTTACAGTAGGTTAAGATCTGTTTTACAGAATTTCATTAATTTTTATTTTTAGTTACTCTTGATTTTGACTGGCAGGTAGTGTAGTTCTTAATTTTGTACCAAAAGCTTTTTGGACCTTCCGGAGTGTCAATCGAACTTAACAATTGACCAATCAAAACAGGTCTCTCACAAGCAGACGTGCTATCCTACAAACGCACATGTTTGCGTATGCTTTTAATTACGCAGTCGTTTTGTGGGACCTTAGCAACAATATCTAAGGGGCGGGGTTTAGGGGAAAGGTCCATTAATGGACCTTTCCGCTAAGCCCTGCCCATTGGATATTGTTGCTAAGGTCCCACAAGACGACAATGTTAAAACATACGCAAACACGTGCGTTTGTGGGACAACACGTGTGTTTGTAAGACGCGCGCGTATTCCTAGCGTTGTTCTGATTAGTCAGTTGATAAGTTTGATTGACACTCCGGAAAGGTCTATTGTAAAGTGTCTACCAGCCTCATATTGATTTTTTTTTTAATGTTTCGATTTTTGCTTTGTAGTGTTTTACTTCTTAAGAACTGATTGAAAGGCTGTTAATATTGTGTGGAGAACCAACAGAAAAAACTGTGATAGGTATTACTGTGTAATTACAGAAACATACAGACGGTAGCTTGCGTCGTCCCATAATACCTGCGTATGCGTATCATTTGTTTATGCTCAAAACTAGCAGGTGCTCTATATTTTTTGTCATAGCAATGTAGATTACTATGAACGCTTAATTAAAGCGGTTTTTTTTTTTTTTTTTTAAATACAAATTATTGACATCTTGCTGTTTGTTTTGATTGCCGCTCATCATGATTGGAGCTAGGTGAGCAGATTTTTGTTACTTATACTATACTGTTGAATGTTTGCGAATTATTTGCAAGTGATAGAGCTCTTTTCAATGATTAATACAAGATCTTTGTTAATACGCAGCGTTATCTCCTGACGGCGCACTCTGAGATAACTGATGAGTTGTGTTTGAATAAAATTGTGAAATTGCCATGTATTCTTGTTGCAAAATAAATGCTGAGAAATATAAGATGCCATGCGTTTGAGGCAACAACTTTGATATCTTTGGGCCTATAAAAAGACAGACACCAATGGTTTAAAATGTTTTTTTTTCCTACCGACCTACCCATTTTAATTTTTTATTTTTTTATTTTACCAAACATGGCCAACACAAGAATTTTCTCTGTTATTTTGGAGTAATTAAACTATTTACCCAAATTAGGTACATTAAACAATAATAATTGGTAACTTCATGTAGACACAAGAAAGCATTTATTGTGTAACAACTAAGCCATATTAAGACCTCAGCAGTGGCGTATCTAGAAGTCTTAAAATGGGGGTGCTGATGGGAGGGTGGGGCGCGCGAAGATGAAGTGGGGACCTCTCGATGATCAGTTGAGGGACGTTAATTCGCAAAGTAAAGTGATTTTTAACTACTTAACTGTGATTTTTGGGGTGGGGGCGACGAGTGTTATATTTCTTTTTTTTGTGGTCGGGGGTGGGGGCACACCCCTAGATCCGCCACTGCACCTCAGCTAAACATTAATAGTAGGACTGCAAGGAACCATAGCGACGTATATTCGTCTTATCCCTTAGCATACATGTAATTCTTGAACTGACAACTCACTATGTATTTGTACCTGATGAGTGTGGGCAGCTTTTGAAGGCTGTCCATATGAAACAAATTTGTAGTAATAAAATACATATGGAATTCTTCTAAGTTTGTCTATTTGTTCGTTTAATTTTGCTCCCAACCGGTTGAGAGAGACATATATATATATATACGAAATGTACATATATAGAGCGAGCTTTCTCTTTAAAATTTAACGTGTTTGATTTATATAATTAGCATATTGCACACAATAAGTACAAGATTTTTACAGCTAAGATTAACGTAGGCGGCGCATATCAGTACACTTCAAGAGTTGCGATGCGTGTGGTTATCTGAGTATTGCAAGAATCGTTATTTTTAACAATAATTTAAACAAAAACTTACAAAAATACAAAAACTTCACTAGACTGGTACGTCATTTGGGCGTGCTTGGATATGGCGCTGCTGGCTTCACTCTTTTCCTGTACAGTGAAAGTGCAAATGAGCTATCCAGGGGGAGGGGTTGGGGTTTCACAAAAAAATAATGTGTTGTTTCTTGTAATAGTAACCAACTGTTTGTAAAGCAGCATTAAAAAAGAAGACCAATACAATTTACCTTATCAAAATCGGATGAAGCGTTCTCAAGTTATAGAGAATGTTCGCGATAAAAAAAAACAAATTCTCCTTTGGAATTGCCGCACTTTTAACTGCATCTAAAAATATTTTTAAAAACTAAACAGCAAAGATAATAATATGTATTAATAATTTGTAGAATATTACCAATAATATGGACATGCAGTCATTTATATATTTTTTTTCCAACTAGCTAAAATCCTTTAAGTGCCAAAAATACAATCCGCAGAATTAAACATAACCACGGAATGTATATACAGTATAAGGGCTGGTAATTTCGTGACTTTTTTAATAAGGTGCTCTACTTAATTTTATAAAGTAAACTTTTAAACTATAAATGATTTGTAAACTACTTGCCGCTTGACGCCCACCTCAACCTCAATCATGGTGGGCCTAAGGTGGGCATGCCCCTTCGTTTGGTACCTACACCTACACATTGCCTTTTTAATCTCCCTTATCGATTTTATTTTAACTTTTTGTCTGTTACCCGTTTATTGTGATGGAATTAAGTCCCTAAAAGGGACTTACAGGGTTATCCTAATATTTCTTTTTCGTTTCTTGCCGGCTTTTCGTCTGTCGACGAGATTTTTTGTGTCTGTATGTTAAGTTTGAGATCATATTGAATTAATCAAATCAAATTTCCTCATAGAATATATAGCGCCCCCAATGTCATTAAACGAATCTCCTGGAAATGGGTTCTTCCAACTTACATGTTTATTGCACTTTTGGACTATTTATTGAAAATGTTTTGGTTTTAGTTATAATATGCTGTGTTCGGAGCGGCGATTTGATACTTTTAAAAACAAATAACAAAAACATATTCCAATACGTACAGTACGGCTGACCGCCACATCCCAGAAATGATATATTTTGGATATTTATTGTTTGCTATGTGACTAAAAGTAGCTAATTTTCTGTGCATTATAATTGTTCTCAAACTGCAATGATGAGATGTGCATAATCATTTAGACGTCATATTTAGTCGACCAATAGACATTATTGGTTTTGTATAAGGCTTTTCCATGAATAGCTACACATCGTTAAGTGATGACAAACAACCCAACACCAACAGAAGATAAGCTTTGAGGCTGAATTCTTGTCCTCATGTTATCTAAAAATTCATAACTCCATAACGGAGGGTAGTATCACATTAATTTTTTCTGAAAAATGTTCTCAAAAGATTATTCTACCCCACTATATTATTGGAAAAAAAAAGAAAAATGCTTTTGACCTCAGAAATCAAGATGGAGAAAAAAAAGCCTATCTTAAGTAGTGTATTAAAATAGGTCTATGCAGGAAAGTGGGCGTTGTGACCCTTTCCCCCCCCCCCCCCCCCCCCCACCACTAGCGCCGCCACTGCTTTCACAGTCGTAGAGTGCTATTTCCGGCAATCTAGAGACTCTTTTTTTTCAAACCTCACTTGGGAGAAGGGACACCCCTCCAAACCCTCCCATCCTCAGGCATACAAGCTCAAGCCCCCTGTTGTCGGAGAGCTTAGTCTCCCTCCCCAAGAAAATTTATCGTAGCGTCAGTGCAAGCTTGCCTACAATGAGCAAAATTTTCATCTTGCAACAGGGGTCATGTTCATCTGCATGATCGTTTATTAACTGTCCTTAGTGGACATGACCCAGAGCTGCGTTAATGTATTCATATAATTCAATAGGAAAATTTTAATTAAACGATTTACTTAGTTAGTAGGTCCTAATTTTTTACATTTTTTTTTTCAAACAAGCCAGATTCAATGGCTCCCTGGGCCGCATTATTTTTTCCCATACAGTTGTGGCAGAAATTATAGAGGGCGCTATGTGTAACAGTTCATTTAGGTGAACCTGGGTGAACTGATACACATGAATATGAATATGGGAAAGCAGTGTTAGCTGCTTGTGGATGAAAGCATATAGTAGGCCAAAATATCTTAGTCGTCGGACGAAACAGTGTAGTGGACACAGTGAAAATTAATGGACTGTTGTAATTATAATATCCTTATGCCTAGACACTGTTTACGTACAGTATGATCATTTAAGTATTTACGTAATACTTTTGGTGATACAATATTACTATAATACCCCTGGTCACAGTTAAACCACACAAAGCTTTTAAAATAGACTTTTTGGTACCGTGGGTGAAAATATATGGCATAGAAAAATACCTTCCCAAAAACAATTGTAAAAACTAAAGACTTGGTAGATGTATTATACGTTCATGCTATGATCATAGAGCACAATGCATTATAAATGCCTTAAGTATGTTTGTATGTTTCTGTGTCGTTGAGAAGTAAATATTTTCAGTTTACACTTTGCCAACATCATGAATAGATTTCAGAAGCTATACTTCGTCTTCTTTGAATTCATTTAATGCCATTTTTGTTAGATGTTTTCGTAGGCACTATAAAAATGTTTGTTGAAAAAACATTTCTAAACAATTGAAATAATGGCATTATAGATGAAAACTGTACAGGTATTCTAATTTAAATATTTACGCCTCTCTAAGCTCACTGTTATGCATCTCACTATTATTATGTTTTCATTGTACCCGTACTTATTATAATTTAGTTCTTTGCAGAAATTGAAGTAAAAACTCATCTCAGTAGTTCTCCCAAAGTGTAGATTAACCTTCAACCGCTTAATGCACTCCAGGTATAGATAGAAAACTCAAGAAGAATGTATTGCTTATTTTAGAAAAATGCAGCAGTATGTAATTAATTTACTTATTGTTGTTTATACAATCTAACTGCCCTTTATAAGGAGAGATGAGGTGCTTTTACTCTGTACGTAACAGCATAACAATTTAAAAACCAATACCATCTTGAAACATCTTTTGTCAGAACGAAGTTCAGGATCTCCCCCCCCCCCCCCAAGAGATGGTCTGGTCGTTAAGAGTGATCCATATCCCACAGATGCCTCTTTGCGATAGCTGGTTCTATAGGCTAACTGTTGTATTTATCTACTTATTCAACGTTTATATCAGTTCCAAAAGGAAGGCGCGTCCAAGAAAAATAACACAAAATTACAAAAAACTAAAGCTAAGAAATGGAAATCAGCAACTTGAATAGAACATTTATCGACCTACTTGCAGCATGGAGGTATTATACCTCCATGTTTGCAGTGAAGTGAATCTGAAACGTAATTTAAGTATAGGATCACCCGTCGTTATTCAAAACCTTGAGCAATAACAATTGAACGAACTTTTAACAAAACGTGCGTGCCGATAATCAATTACTTAATACAAAATGTTTTGATAGCATCGTACCGTGGTAGCATGCTTAATTTACCTAAATAAATGAAATAGCCTTAAATAAATACGAAGCTTCAAGAGCTAGTTGTATATTTTTAGTCCTTTCGTTCGTAGAATTGGCAATTATTGTATATTGTGTCCATTTTAATTTATATTTTACGTGCCACCAGTTTCCTATTTACTTATTTATTTATGCCTGAGGCCCATCTTAAAATGTATAATGCGTTAGGCCGCCTATAAAAAGAGAGCGTCGACACCCCAATCTCTACGAAATTGCCTGATACTTCCGCAGGTATCCGTTCTCTGGCCCCTCTGTTGAATCTCTTTATTAATGATATACCTTCTCTTTTCTCGTCTAATTATCTCCTCTTTGCCGATGACTTCTAACTGTTCAGAATTATTTCTTCTCACCACAATTCGTTGCTTCTTCAAGATGATCTGGCCAAATTTTCTCGTTGGGTCACTGATTGGAAAATGGCTCTCATATTTCGAAGTGTGTAATTCTTACCGTTCCTTTCAAAAAGAACAACCCCATTGTTTTTAATTATTCCATTGGTTCCTTTACACTTGAACAAGTCTCTCATCATAAAGATCTTGGTGTTATTATCGATTCCCATCTTAGATTTAACCTTACGCTAATGCTGCTGTCGCTAAAGTAAATCGAATGCTCGGAATGATCAAACGCAACTGCTGGCATATTCGCATTTCTAAAGTGGCGTATCTAGGGATCGTGCGGGGGGAGGGGGCGCACGCCCTTCAAAAAATTACTTGCGCCCCCCCCCCTCCCCAGGCTTCCCCAAAAATCACGGTCAAGTTGTTAAAAATCACCTAAAATCAACATATTTTGCGAGTTAGCGCCCCCTTAACCGATCATCGAGTCCCCCCGCCCGCGATTTTTTTCCGTACGAAACATTTGTATGAAACTTCACTCGAGCCATCTCGGATTGACTCGAGTGAGTACGATACGAGGAACAAGAGCAGACACTTCGCAGTGTCGTGACGCTCGAGTTTTACTGTTATTGCTCTTTCTATGTTTACCTACGTTAGGCCTATGAAATTTCACGGACTTAACGTGATGTATGTCACTGTGTAACTAATTGTGACCTTCTTGGATGTTATTAAATGTTAGTATATTATCTACAACAACAGCAGCTAGTACCTCCTGTTATAAAGTGTAGATAGGTACAGTTATACCAAA